GGGAGGGAAGGAGGGAGGGGGGGGAGAGGGGAGAGGGGGCTGCATGACTGCATCGCGCCATCCCCGTCAATAGGTGGACCCCCTTCCTGGCCCCATAAAGCCGCCAAAGTCGAAGGTGGCTGTCTCTGCTGTCTGAGATTGCAGCAGCCGGTAAGCGCGCTTGGAGCGGGGCTGCAGAGGATGGCTAGGGCTGCCCCCCCATGCGGCCCAAACCAATTTTTCATCTTCTAATGTGGCCCAGGGAAGGTGAAAGGTTGGACACCCCTGGTTTAGATTATACCTGACTAGCCCTGTGGTTTTTCCTACTTTCTTCAGTTTAAGCTTGAATTTTGCTATAAGAAGCTGATGATCAGAGCCACAAATCAGCTCCAGGTCTTGTTTTTGCTGACTGTATAGAGCTTCTCCATTTTTGGCTGCAGAGAATATAATCAATCTGATTTTGGTATTGCCCATCTGGTGATGTCCATGTGAAGAGTCGCCTCTTGTGTTATTGGAAAAGAGTGTTTGTGATGACCAGCTTGTTCTCTTGACAAAACTCTATTAGTCTTTGCCCTGCTTCTTTTTGAACTCCAAGCCCAAACTTACCTGTTGTTCCTTTTATCTCTTGACTCCCTACTTTAGCATTTCAATCCCTTAGAATGAGAAGGACATCTTTCTTTGGTGTCAATTCTAGAAGGTGTTGTAAGTCTTCATAGAATCAGTCAATTTCAGCCTCTTCAGCATGGCTGGTTGGTGCATAAACTTGGATTACTGTCATGTTGAAAGGTCTGCCTTGGGTTCGTATTGAAATCATTCTATCATTTTTGAGATTGTATTCCACTACAGCTTTTCCCACTCTTTGCTTTGCTTTTGTTGACTATGAGGGCTACTCCATTCCTTCTACGGGCTTCTTGCCCACAATAATAGATATGGTAATCGTCTGAATTGAATTCGCCCATTCCCGTCCAGTTCACTTCACTGACACCCAGGATGTCAATGTTTATTTTTGCCATCTCCTATTTGACCACATCCAGCTTACCAAGGTTCACAGATCTTACATGCCTATGATTTAAGAGGTACTAAAAAGTTTCACCGCTTACCAAGGTTCACAGATCTTACATGCCTATGATTTAAGAGGTACTAAATAGTGAAGTTTCACCCAGACCAGTAGTTCCCAGCTTTGGGGAACACAGGTACTCTTGGACTGCAACTCGCAGAAACTCCAGCCAGCACTGCCGGTGGTGAAGGCTTCTGGGAACTGCAATCCAAGAACATCTGGGTTTCCCAAGTTTGGGAACCGTTGACCTACAACACAGCAAGTAAATGTTATTTTTAATGCTGCTAGGCAAGTAGGTAAGTTTTGGCATCACTAATGTAAAACGAATATCTGGAATCCATAGGCATCCTACTAGATGGGGATGTGAAAGCAGCCCTGTTGCCTTCCAGGTTAACTGGGAAAGGAGAGGACTGCCCTTCCAATATATGTATATTCTCCACTCATTGTTTCCCAGTTCCAGTTAGTCAACTATGCTCCGAACTACAGTGGGGTCTTGACTTGAGAACTTAATCCGTATTGGAAGGTGGTTCTCAAGTCAAAAAGTCTGTAAGTCAAGTCTCCATTGACCTACAGTGCATTGAAAACCGATTAATCCCGTAACAGGCCGTTTTTGTTCCATTTTGGTTTTTTTCTGGTCTGTAAGTCAATTCTCAGTCTGCAAGTCAAACCTAAATTTTGCGGCCAGAGAAGTCTGTAACTCAAAAAGTCTGTAGGTCAAGCCGTCTGTAAGTCAAGGGTCCACTGTATATGTTTAGATACTTGAGAATATTCTCCCCTTCTCACATTTCCCTACATCTATATGTGTGAAGGTGTAGCATAATGATATATACACACTAGTCTGGCTTCTGTGAATTAACAGCAAAAGGAAGCACTTCCCTAGAATTATTAAAAATTACTTAAAATTACATTACATAAGAAATCTGTGCAACTCACCAGTTGCCATAACAACAAGATTATCTTTTCTGTCTTGCAAAACTGAAGAGATTACTTTCCATTGGACCCTTGAAATTAGGAATAAAAAAAATGGGACTATATCAGCTGGAATGTCCGATAAGAACTGCGTTTTATTCAACAACTCACAATTCACTCTCTTATGTACGATATGCAAATTTATTTATTTCTCTTTTCCCAGAAACCTTAACCTGCCTGTTTTATGTAACATTCTAAAAACTTCCTATTTACTTTTACCACAGTAATGTAACATTATTAACGTAAACTTCCTCACTCCTCTCAGGATAATTTCTGTATTTCTACTTCAATAGCACAATGAACTAAAGCATTTAAATATCAAACCAAAGCACATTACATCCGCTTGGAGAAAAAAAAACAGTAAACCAAGGAAGATGCTCGAGCACCCATACAATGGTGGAGAATCAGCTGCCAGTTCAGACCAGCTTGCAAAACAGAGATAAATTTCTTCAGAGAATGCAGCACTGTCTATAGGAAACAACACCACCGAGGCTAATTTCCCACCCATCTCAGCTACCTCATTTAGAACAACCTGTCACGGGAGCTTGAGCATTCCTCCACTTCCTTTCCTTAACTGAGTTGTACGTGTGCTCAGGAAAACATTCAGGCCTCCCTTCTCCCACTGTAACAAGGCCCTCTGTGCCTGCCAGTGGCACAGATATCTACCTCAAATGAGTCTACAACTCCCTGTCCCTTCCCTGCTAGGACACAGCCTGGTCCCCATGCCACCCCAAGAAGCCAGTCAGTCACCATATCCCGCTGGCTAAATTGCAGCCGCCTCGGCTGAATTACGAGCATGCCTTAGGACAAGTGTAACATAACTAACACAATGCTCCCCTAGGCCTACTTGCTATAGGAGCCTCCCCAAGCGGTGGTTAAGCTGCAGGACAGCAGCCAAAACTCTTGCTCACAATCTGGGTTCAATCCTTTCCCCCACCCCCAGCAGGGTGAGTACTTAATTTACCAACCTCAGAAGAGTGGAAGGTTCACCCTCAAGCCTTCAATCTCACAACCTGGGATTGAAGGCTTGAGGCAGAACCTTCCACTCTTCTGAGGTTGGTAAACTGAGTACTCACTCTGCTGGGGCAGGGGAGGGGGCAATGAGTAGCCTGCATAATTAACTTGTAAGCCAGAAAGAGGAGAGGTCCCCAAACCCCGGCCCAGTGCCGGTCCGTGGCCTGAGCCAGACTGGGGAGACAGACCTCCCACACCACCCCCCGCACTCACTCCCAGACAGCTGATTTGCCCATGCAAATGGCACACCAGAGTGCCCGTGCGAGTGCCGTGCCACCATTTGTGCATGAGCGCACCCGCACAAGCGCTGCACCACATGTGCGCGCGAGAGAGAGCATGTGCTTGTTCACGCATACGCACAAGCGTGCCTGAGCCAGACTGGGGAGACAGACCTCCTGCACCACCACCCCGCACTCACTCTCTCCCGGACAGCTGATTTGCCCAGTGCCTGTGCGAGCGCTGTGCCACCATTTGCGCATGAGCGCACCTGCACAAGCACTGCACCACATGTGCGAGAGAGAGCACGTGCTTGTTCGCGCATACGCACAAGCGTGGGGGTGCCCCACTTTCCTCAGCCGGTCCGTCGGGTGAAAAAGGTTGGGGACCCCTGACATAGAGAGTGCTTTAAATCGTAAATCACACAGAGAGTGCTATAAGTGCTATGGGGCAATATATAAGCAGCACACTTGGCTTTTTGGTGGGCAAGCTGCTTTTCCAGGAAGGTTCTCTATCACCATTAATTTGGTAATTTCACAACCTTTCCCTGGTATCCAAGAAACCTAAAGACCACTGGACATTTCATGATGGTCCCAGTTCAGATGGGGAGCTTGACTGAACCATAGAGCTGTGATGGGGGATTTTTACCTACAACGTCAGTTCTGAGGGCGAGTATACTGCATTAGTAAGCTGGTGCTTTAAAATAAATAAATTTCCACAGGCATTAAAGAAAGCAGTAAAACTTACGGTTTAAAATTTGAATGTCCAAAGTACATCTTCAGGCAAGCTATCTGTTTAGTGTTGGGTCTAGGCAAATAGGAATCTTTGAAAAAAAAACAAAGATATATTTAGACCTGAAGAAAGTACAATACAGATGGACTTGCAGTGGTTATTCAAGATCAAAATGAGTATTAATTTTTATGCATATCACACAGATGCAAAGGATTTATTACTCTCAGCTCTTACCTTATCAAATCAGGAAACTGAAAACTTAAAAATTCTGCCCTCAGTTCCTGCCCTGCTATTGAAGAACAGTGGGCATATCCAACTTCAAGTGTTCCTCAGGACATGGTGAATACTCTCACTGAGTTCATTGGTATTTAAATGTGCTTTACATGACAACATCATGTCCATAATTTACTGGGGAAACTACTGAACAAAGCTGCACTAATTCCATGGAATGCAACGGAAAAGGGTTAACCTCTCATAATACTGACTTCAGCCAAAATCTGCGAACATTGTCTCAAATTGGTATTTTACTCCATCAAGATAAAAATATTAATAATGGCCAGGTGAGTGCCTTTTGCTGGAGATAACATGGAATGCTGTTTGCATATATATTGGTCCTATCCATCAGTTTGCAAGTTTTTGACAGCAATTTTTCAGGAAACTGAGTTAATTACAAATAGGTTTATTAGACTGTACCCAGAACTGCAGCTTTTATATTTAGTGGAATGCCCCTACAAGAATGTCAGTATCAATATCTATACCAGCTGGTAAGATAGTGTAATTGTTTCACAAGCCATTTTGACAAGTGCTGGAACGTGATCCGTTCACCCATTTTCAATTCCTCAAAACTGTCCAATAGTTTCTTACACTTCTGAAAACGCCTAGTTCCTGAGATATAGAAAGCTAGGGCTCTGCTGATATATAATGTGTGAAACACATTTTCCAGTTCTGTAGTAGGAGATGGAGAAAAGGTTGGAAGTACTAGAGCTTGGTTAAAGTGAAAGTCTGAAACTACTTTAGGTAGGAAAGACATGTCGAGTAAAACGGTAACCTTATCCTTATAGAATTCTAAGAAATGTGGGTCATGCCAAAGAGCACACAGTTCACTTGCTCTTTGAGCTGATCTGACTGCAATTAAAAACAATGTTTTGTATGGAAGTAGTCTACAATCTGCTGCAACCATGAGCTCAAATAGTGGTTTGATGAGCTGGTTGAGTACTAGTGAAAGTGGACTACTGTAGAGGTGGAGCCTGCACCTCAGGGTGGACATTGCAGAAACTTCTTGAGAATTGGATTTTTGAAAAAAAAAAAACTGAGATGGCTTGGCCACTATGTCTGATAAACAGACCTTTATGTAGGAGCAGAACAAACTGTTCTCCTTTAGACATAAAATAAAATGCAACATAGTGTGTAGCATGAGTGGGAGGCTAGATTTTCCTATTCTATTGATTGTGCAAAGGATGAGAACCTTCGTCATTTTTATTCATAGCTATGGCTTCCTAAATTCGTGTGTTGGAGAATTCTCCACACTGTCCATCTCAGCCTATCTAGGTCTGGATGACGAACTGTCCCTCTGTTCTGAGATAGTACGTGTGGTACCAATAGCAGTTGGTAAGGGTCTGCTTCTATAGTCTTACTGTCAGAAACCATGCCTGGTGTGGCAGGAAGAGGTAGAGGAGTTCCCTTGACCAGCGGGGTCATGAAACTACCAAATCCTCCTCACAGCCTGCCTGGGAGCAGCATTTTTAACACCTCCTGTTGCTCATGGTGGTGAAGAGATCTGTCTTTTGTTGTTCCCAGAGGTTGCATACTTTGTTGAACACAATTACAGCTAGTTGCCATATATAGCCCCAAGAGATCTTTTTGCTTAGGCTGTCAGCTATTTGGTTTTGGCCCCCTGCTACATGGGTGGCCACCAGAAAGATTTAGCGTACGATTCTGCATTCCTAGAAATGAATCATCAGGTAAAAGGAAGACATGGAGTATGTTCCACCCTGTGTGTTCATGTAGTATATCACGGTGGTGGTGTCAACGGCCACTTGTACTACTTCGCCTAACAACATTGCCTCAGAAGCTTTGAAGGCGACACTAATTCATATATAGAGAGAATACTTTCTTCTTCAGACTGATTAACATCCAGCCATCTCAGATTTATATAGAGAGAATACTTTCTTCTTCAGACCTAGGAGGCATGGATTTCCTGGTCCTGACAGTGTGCCCCAAACTGTCAAACATGCATGAGTTGTTACTTGCATTTTGGGCCTGAGATGTTTGAAGAGCTATCCCATGGTTAAATTGTTGGCTCCCCACAACAGCTGCATTGTTAGGTCATCAGTCACAGTTAACTTTTTGGAATTGCTCTGTTAAGATGTTGAAAGATGATGGGCACCAGGCTTGAAGGAATCTCATTCTCAGGCAGGCATGAAGAATTTTGCTGCTTTTGTTGATGCCATTAGTAGTTTTGGGGCCATGTGTGCTGTAACATTACAAAGATGGCATTGGTCGCCCTGTATGATGACTTGTTGAGGGAGGCTGACGGGCAAAATGTCGCTGTTGGTCCTTCTCGACATCTCGGCGGCCCTTGATACCATCGACCACGGTATCCTCCTGGGGAGGCTCTCCGAGTTGGGAATCGGTGGCCTGGCGTTAGCCTGGCTCCGTTCCTTCTTGGAGGATCGTCCCCAGAGAGTTCAGCTTGGGGAGAGTGTCTCGGCCCCGTGGAGTTCCAACTGTGGGGTTCCACAGGGGTCGATTATCTCCCCAATGCTGTTCTATATGAGGCCGCTAGCGGGGGTCATCAGGGGGTGTGGAGCGCTGTGTCATCAGTATGCTGATGACACCCAGCTCTACATCTCCTTTTTACCAACTGCAGGTGATGCCGTCCTGTCACTGCAGCGCTGCCTGGGGACCGTACTGGAATGAATGCAGGAGAACGGGCTGCGGCTGAACCCGGACAAGATGGAAGTTCTGAGGGTGGGGGCGCCCGTGTCTGGCGGCTTGGATGTCTCTCTCTCATTTGGGGGAGCGGCTCTGGCTACGGCGAGTGGGGGCCGCAGCCTGGGGGTACATCTGGACCCGACGCACCATGGAAACACAGGTGACATCGGTTGTCCACTCCGCCTTCTTCCACCTTTGGCGGAGTGCCCGGCTGCAGCCCTACCTCGACACGGGGGCGCTCACTACCTTAGTGCATGTGCTCGTAATCTCAAGATTAGACCACTGCAACACGCTCTATGTGGGGCTGCCTTTGAGGTTGTTGCGGAAACTTCAGATGGTGCAGAATGCAGCGGCCAGGCTCCTTACTGGAGGGAAAAAATACCACCGCATTTCTCCTACTCTGGCCAGACTGCACTGGCTGCCCATTCGTTTCCGCGTCAATTTCAAAGTTTTAATACTTACAAGGCCCTAAACGGTTTGGGACCTTGATACTTGGCGGAACGCCTGCTCCCACCAAGATCTACCCGGACCACCCGCGCGAGCCAGGAGGTGAGGCTGAGGAGCCTGACGCCAAGGGAGGTCCAGAAGGAAAAAACTTGAAACCGGGCCTTCTCGGCGGTGGCTCCTCGCCTTTGGAACAATCTCCCTCCTGAAATTCGCGCTGCCCCTACGCTGGGCACATTTATGCAGAGACTGAGATCCATTAACAGGTGTAGAGTGAAACAGATATATTTCTCTGCCTTGCCCCTAGAATTGGCAACAATCGATCAGTCATCTATGTATGGAAAAAGTATTATGCCACTGAGTCAGAGGTAAGCAGCAACTGGCGCCATACACTTTGTGACTATGAGTGCTATACACAGACCAAAAGGCAGCACTTTGAATTGGAAAATATGGTTGCCAAAAGCAAAGCAGAGGAAATGTCAATGATCTTTGCAGACAGTGATACAGTAGTGCCTCGCATTACGACGTTAATTCGTTCCAGCGAAATCGCTGTAAAACGAAAACGTCATAATGCAGAAATAAAAAGCCCACTGAAACACACTGAAACCCCTTCAATGTGTTCAAATGGGCTGGAAACTCACCGTCCAGCGAAGATCCTCCATAGGGCAGCCATTTTCGGTGCTTGTGCAGCGAGGAATCTGTCCCAGAAAACAGTGGGGACTTATTTTATTTACCCGGCGGCCATTTTGAAGCCGCCAATCAGCTGTCCGAAAATCATCGTTTTGCGAAGAATCGGTTCCCGAAGCGGGGAACCGATCATTGCAAAGCGAAAAAAACCCATTCAGACCATCGTTTTGTGATCGCAAAAAGATCATCGTAATGCGGTTTTGTCGTAATGTGGGGCAATCATAAAGCAAGGCACGGCTATATCTACTCAGGAATTTACATATCTCAGGTACAGAACAAGTCTCAAATCTCCATCCTTTTTGGAGCCATAAAATAACAGGGAAAGCAAGCATTTTTGGAAGAACAGATTGTGTGGCATCTTTCTTTAAAAATGTAGCTATTTCTTCCTCCAGTACTTGAGATGGTGTTGTAGGTCCGAAAAGTCATGTTGGAGAAGGACATATAAATTCTATAGTGTGGCCCTGTTGGATAATGACTGCAACCCACTCATCATTGGCAAAGGTGCTAGCGATGGAGTAGTGTCATCTACACAGGGGACCAAGGGGCAGTGGATCTTGGTATGAATGAAATCAAAGGTCCTGTTTAGGTTTTTTTGTCCTGTTTCTTCTGAGGCTGAGCTCTGTCATTGAGTGTGTTTTGATTTGTTATAGAGGCCTCTGGTTCCATTGGCTTTTTTCTTTTCTTCAGTATAGAAGATGATGTCGTTTGGTGGTGTGAGGTCAACCTTGACATCCAAGGTCAGTTGTCAAGATCAGTTCTCAGCAGCAACTTATGCATGGAGTCAGTCTCCGGTGGTACTTGATCATTTTGAGGTCTAGCAGATGATGATTGTGTCTACAGAGCATCCATGATGACCAGTCTTGAAGGTGTTTTTCAAACAGATATCACTGAAATTGACGTAGATTTCTTTGATATGAAATCTATCATCTGCAATTGTTTCTCTCTCACACAGAGAGACGGGGGTGAGATTGTTGGTTCTTTATGGTGACTTTAGTAAACTTTTGAGAAATTCCACAATTCTGAGTCTTGTGCCCCTCACCAAGATAGCAGAAGAACTTTTCATGTCCACCAGAGAGGGGGATATAATTACTGCATGTGACACACGTCTTAAATGGGCCCACCAGGATCATAAAAGGTGGGAAGGCCTGGGGATGATGGTGAACAGGCAAGAATTATTAATGACCAAAAACATGCTCTAGAGAATGCTCTGATATGTTTCCTCAGCAGAAGCAGAAAAGGAACTGAGGAATAACTGTTATGCATATGAGCATGGATACTGCGGGCGGCTGCTCTAACGGTTTTCTTTAGGCTCTGGAATATTCCAAGGAGTTTCACGCTGGCACAGAAACAACCCACATATGTAATTCACAGGGATCACTCTTTAAGAGGCATCAATAACAACCACAGACAAAACATCTTTCTTCTAATATGGTTCACAAACATTGAATATGTTAACTATACTAAAAAGATGTATTTTGCTCCATATATGCATAGTAACGTTTGGAATGACCATTTAAATTGAAATATTAAAATGTGTTCTTTTTGTATAGCATTTCCAGTAATTTTTAAATTTTACACCATGTATGAAGGTTCCAAGTCAAGAGACAATTCAAGGAAAGTGGGGGAAGGAAAACCAAGAAAACAGGACATGCTATTCTAGTAACAGTTCCACATTATGATGGATTTATAACTTACATTCACAAGGCCAGGATCTACTTACACATTAAAAGGTCCAAAAGATACTGATTAACATCCAGCCATCTCAGATGAAATGGATAATCCATTGCTTTACTATCTGAATTTTGGCTAATTAACTATAGAAATCTATGCTTTTATCTATGGCTTACAGTGACAAGGAAGGCAGAGAGTTCCAACTTCTACACCCACACCCCAATACTGTATTCTATAGCAAATTATTTTTGAAACTCCAATGTTTACTTCAGCTGCTGTCTTAAGAAACAAGCCCAAGGTCTCCCTTCAAATCCAGTTGGGTGATTCCTTGTTACATGAACACACACACACAGAGACACAAATATGTTTGTTGGGTGTATCTTAACAGTTTTTAAATTGCAATTTGATATTTACCCCAGCTTTCATCTTCTTCTTCAATGCCTTCATCTTCTTCTTCATCATCTGGCACAATAAGGTCATTTTGCCTGTTTGATTTATCCAACGTGGGGTCTGTAATATCTATGTTGTGCTTGTCTACACTTTCTAAGGACTAGAGAAGAGAAATATTGAGTTAACATATCTAGAGATCATAAAATAACTAGAGGTATGCATTATTTTTGAGTGAAAGTAAAGTTTGTTTCCTGTAGCAAATGTATTACTGTTTGTTGCAAAGAGTGTATAATTCATGGACTTCAACATGAAGTCTCATTATTGAGAAACATAATTATGTATTTGATGTACATAAACACAGACACACAGAGAGACATACTGCATGTGTCTCTATGTTTACGTACTTCTATTTCATCCCCCAAGCAAGAAAGACTGCAGCTAATTAGTGTCTTCCTTTCATATTGATGTTAAAGGCAGAGAAAATTAAAAGTATAAAAAGTAAGATGCCAACTATGTCCAGTGAAGCTGTTTATTTTATCTCACTCTATCCTGGTGCATATTTTGCTTAGAAACTGTGCTTCTTTGTTGAATACCATGCCCGTTTGCCCCAAAAGTCAAAACCTGATTAAGTGTCCATGCTTCCTTCCACACACACACACAACTAAGGGGGCAAGTTCAGCAGAATGTACATGCACAGCCAACTAGAGTGGTCACAATTACCAGATAGGCAGGGTATAAATGGAATGAATGAATGAATGAATGAATGAATAAATAAATAAATAAATAATGTTATCCAGACCAAGGGTTGCAGTTTATAACAAACTATAGTGATACAGTGGTGCCTCGCTTGACTAGGATAATTTGTTCAAATCGCTGTTAAGCGAAATCCTCGTCAAGCAAAATGAAAAATCCCATTGAAATGCATTGAAAACCAGTTCAATGCGTTCCAATGGGCTAAATACCTCATCATAAAGTGAAGACCCTCCATAGGGCAGCCATTTTCCAGTGCCTGTATAGCGAGGAATACGTCCTAAAGCACAGAGGGGGAGCCATTCTGCACAGTGGGCAGCCATTTTAGAGCCACCGATCAGCTGTTTTAAAATCGTCATCTAGCGAAAAAATCGGTTCCTGAAGCAGGGAACCGATCATCGTGAAGCGAATTTTTCCTATTAGAACATTGTTTTGCGATCGCAAAAACCACATCATCAAGCGGTTTCAATGTTTAACGAGGTAATCGTTAAGCGAGGCACCACTGTACCTCAGTTTACGAACGCCTCGGTTAACGTAATTTTCATTTTATGAATGAAAATCCATTGAAAAGAATGCCTCACTTTACAATTTTTTTCATAATACGAAACAGGTTTCCCCAGCATGCATGGCGCCTGGGAGGTTTTTAGCACTGCCCCTGTGCATTTGTTCCTATGGGAAACCACATTTCAGTTTGTGAATTTTTCACAATACGAAATGTCCCAGAGAACACATTAAATTCGTAAACCAAGGTACCACTGTATGGTTATTTTAGAAGCCACCCTTTGAAATTGACTGGTTATAAAACTTATCATATGTTTAATGTATCACATCTCAGCATGTGCAGTTAGCACCAGACCTCTTAGCATTGTGAGCAAATGCTACCATCTTTATATACCCTTTGTGACGATCGCCCCACCTCACTCATGCCATTCATAGTCATCACCTGATTTGCATGAGCCTATGAGAATACTGGAAAGGCGGAGTCAGCAGCTACATGAGGTCTGACGGGAGAAGGAGTCAGAGATAAGGGCTGGTTAGTCAGAGAGAGAGGGAACAGATACTGAGTGATAAGGCTGGTAAAGAAAATAGGTAGAGAAGGTGGTAATGACATTGCAAGGGAAAAGAAGTATGTACTGAGAGAACTGCTAATGATTTGCTTGTGTATAATGTGTATCTGAAGGACTTCTGTTATTATTCAATCTGCTTCACTTCAATAAATAAGTTCTGTTTGTGTTCACAAGACAGGTGTCCTGACAAACGTCATTTATACTATGGATTGAGGTAATCCACTGGTGGCAGTGAGAGGAAAACAGAACGTGAGCCTTTGTGACAGAAGGATAAGCAGGGGCCACAAGGACGAACATCACACCATTATATCTTTTCCTCATTAGAGTATCCTATACAAATAATACTAAGCTCCTTCAGAAGATGAGATGTCATGCAGAGACGTACCTAATGCTACACCCTTTGTGAGGCTGAGTACAGACTGTGAAGAGATCACTTAAACAAACCAACTGACTTAAGTTTATGTTCTGCCTATCAGCCAAAAAGAAAGCAATGAAGTCAACTAATAGTAATAATGTTAAAATAAAATGCAATGGAAACATAACAAAATTAAGAATACGAAAAATGTGTGTGAATATTCCTACACTTTTTAAAAAGGGGAATAAAGCTTTTAAGAAAGCACAAGTAAAAAGCATGCAAGCAAGGAGAGAACTGATCCTGTGCTAAAGACAGCCTGTGAAAAATGCACAGCTGGACCTTACTGTGAATTTCTACCTCCAAAATAATGTGTTCCAAGAAATAATGGGGCTGCTGATCTTGCCTGAAGAAAAAGTACTGAGGGAAATAAGGAACAATGTAACTAAAAAGGAAAGGAGTAAACCACTGACAGATGTTGAATGCAGAGTAGCACCACCTTTTTTAAAATGATTATTATTTAAGGGTGTGTGTCCCATTGGTGTTTGCATAAGCTTGGTGTAATCTACCCTGGCTGACTGCAGTTAACTAGCAAAGCATTCAGGCACATGATCACATTGCCTGAACTGTACACCTGAGGTGCTTCCGGCATCAATTAGCTGCATCACGTTATGCAAATCTTATATCAATGCAGGCAGTATTATTTTGCACACACTAAATGCATTTAGGTCTTTAGACACTTTCTCTTTTTCTAAAGACTTACCGTATTTTTTGCACCATAAGACGCACTTTCCCCCCTCCAAAATGTGGGTGGGGAAGTCAGTGCGTCTAATGGTGTGAATGCAGCAATTTCGTCGCTGCTGGCCCCGTGGGGGGGAGCGTCGCAAGGGTCCGGGTGAGCCTTCCAGGACCGGTAGGTTTTCTAAAACCGAAATACATATCTTGAAAAACTTACCTTCACCATCTCCATTTCAAATTCATCATCACTTTCAATGGTGCAGAGATAATTCTCCCCATCCTCCATGAAGCTTAAATCCTAAAAGGAACATTTCAAACTGAGCGGGTTGGTTTGTTTCACTTTACTATGGCTCTGGGCCCAATCTAGTTGCAACTTACTAAGCTAAGCAACAGGATTTCAGCCAATATTTTCAAACCAACCGCAGCCTGATCTTATACTCTGCTAAAGCACAAGATAAAATTGCACTAGTAAGGTTGCAACACAATACAAGAGGATCACTTATCAGCTTCACTCCAATGTGGATAATGGTCTCCACTTTCTGTACTACAACATCTACAACAATTGGTATTATTGCAACACTACCAGGAAGAAGTTCCTGTATACAACTGCAGCATCATACATGTGTTTAACAGGGCAAGAAAGGGGCACAAATGTCTCTCTGGCCATATAAGCACACCCTTAGGAGATGGAAGCAGGTCTAGAACAAGAATCTCTTAGGATTTCTGCTGGCAGACAACTTACGTCACATATAATACTGTCTAATCTGCTCTAGTACTGCCAAAATCTAGGGTAAGATCAAACTGTCAATCAAACAGTATTGCTTTCACCACCTCACTGCCCATATATATACTGACCTCAGACTTACAGGCCTTTTCATTGAGCAGTTCCTCTTCAGCCTGACGTTCCAACATTTGAAGTTCATATTCCGTTATGCCAAGTGACATTAAGTACTCATTCTCTCTAGCTTCGTTAGTTCCTGTGCCTGAAGCCTCATCTGCCTGGTTTTTCTTATATCTCTCCTCTTCAGCTTTTACCAGCACCTCATTTTCAACACCAACCGGTTTATGCTGTCTAGGATCATTTGATATCCACATATTCTTGGAACTTAATTCAGAGGTTTCTGGGTTTTCTTCCTTGCTACTAGTTATTTCTAGATTTGCAACATGTTCCAGTTCCATCTGGCATGTAGGTCCAATAAGCAACGTTCTTCTTAAAGCTTTGATGTTTTCCGACATTGCAGTCAATATTTCTGAAGATCTGAAGAAGAAATGTTGATATGGCAAAGCAAACTCAAAATAGACGAAAGGTATATATCTGCTAATGCAATCTAAAGTTTGGAAAAAATGCAGTTACATACAGTACTTTCATGTTCTCCCAAGAAGGTGAAGGTAATCATGGATGCATTTTTATCTGTACCAGCTAGCAATGTTGCTTCCTGCTTCTTTCTAGGATCAGACAACTGTATGTGTACACCAGAATACTCTGGACTTCCAGTTTATTAACAGTTAGCTATCACATTTGAGCCCCTTAGAGCAGCAGTCCCCAACCTTTTTAGCCCCACGGACTGGCTGGGGAAGGCGGGGCACCCCCCTGCGCTCGTGCACATGCGCACATGCATGTGCGAAGGGTGGCGCAGTGCTTGTGAGGGCACTCACTCGCACGCAGGCACAAACAGGCTGTGGGGGGAGTGCGTGTGGGGCTGGGGGAGTCTCTCTTCATGGCCTGGTCGGGCTCAGGCCAGAGACTGGCACTGGGCTGCGGACCGAGTGTTGGGGACCTCTGCTTTAGAAGGCTTACAAAGCAGAACAGAATTAAATAGAAACAGCTATACAGCTAAAGTACAAGGATCAGATACAAAAAAAACAACACACACAGATTTCAAAAAAGAGCAAAATAGAATTATTGAAGGTAAAATCACAGACTTTTAAAATTTATTTTCCAAATCACTAAAGGGATGAAGTTTTCATGCCTTGCATAACTGAGAAAGTCCCAAAGCACATCACAGAGAACTGAACTCCTAAAGACAAGGGCAGCTAGGCAATGTTGCCTACTGGGATTTCATATCAGAGTAAGTTAAACTGCATAAGCCTTGGTGGCAAATTGCAGCTAATTAACAAGATGCTGATCATGTACTTGGCTGTGATTTAAATCTCAGAATTTTGACCAAAGAGAAATAAAGCAATTCTAATTATACATCTTGATGTTGCTTTAAACCCAGCTCTGGGGTCCCTGATTTTTGGAAGAGATTTTGTGTGTTTTGTTGTTGTTGTTTTTAGTGCATGTAAGAAACTAGAGTAGGAAGGCAAGCCTAAACACCCTAATATAAGCAGAGAAACAAGAGAAAAGAACCCAGATAGTCTTTTCACTCACATCCAGTGGTTCCATAAATAGAGATAAAGGAACATATAACATCAGCTTGCACAGATTAATTAAAATGAGCACCACTTAACCTTTGAACATTTGTAGACTGTCCTAAAGTTCCTGGAAGGCAATCAGCCAGATCCACCATCTCCTTTGACAGAGATGTTAATTTCTTCTTTATTTCACTTGAGGGCAGAACTCCCTCTGTAAAAAAGGTAAGGTAAACGTATTGCTTTTATCGACCACAATGCTCTGCTCTACATGGTTTGAAAATTGGGGGGAGGGGGGAGAGAGGGATGTTTCAGTAGTAACTAGCAAAAGCCATTTTCTTTTCTTTAACACTTCCAAGAATAGGGCTAGCAGAATAATCATTACTAAGGAGGTTTATACCACCTTTCATGCAGGCACGTCATCTTCCATCAATTTTAATTCAAGAACAAATGTCTTCATTCAGAACACAAGACGGAGTTAATACCTTTACCAGACCTCCGAAATATCAAAATCAAGGAGAGCTTTCAAGTCCGCAAGCTAGGCGTTGCCACTCCCACAAGTGCTTCAATACCCAGTCTGGAACAGATTCCTGCTGGATATGACAGCTCACCCATTTTAATATGTTAGTAGTACAAAAAAAGGTACTAGCCTTCTTTGGTTTAGGATTTTGTAAATGGACCAAACTGTCTTTTGTCCTTCTTCCTTTGTCCCTGATTCATAATTATAAACACAATTTACACTGAATTCTAGCACCATTTTTTTTAGACACATACACACCATGCTTTCTTGTAACATTAGTTCAGCTAGGCTCCCTGTGAAAAAAAAACTCATGTGAAAACAGAAATGTATTTATTTATTTGATTCTTTGTATACCATCCACCTGGCCAATGGTCACTCTGGGCAGTGCACAGACAATAACAAAAACAAACATAGCACAATCAAGTACTGAAATTAAATTAACAAATTAAACTGAACAATAAACTTAAAAAGTGTTTATTTGGAATGCAGCTAGATCCCAAGTGGTGCCCAAGGCCAGTTGCTAATCAAAATGAAGAGGCTACATTACTTGTCATTTCCTGGGCACTGAAAGTTGCCTCTGATACAATGACTGTGTTAAGCCAGAGGGGGGAACTAATAGGATTTCTCAAAAGCTTCCAGAAAGGATTTTTTTTTTTTTTTGCCTTTAAGATAGAAAAATAAACGTATCACCTCATTATGAACTTTTAAAACTAGTCCCCTACAGAAAGCTCCTACATGCTTGGGCCAAACCACATTATACACTCACAATTTCTGAAAAGCAAAAGGTATGAAGCCCTCCTGTAGCAGAAGAATTAACTCATGGCCTCAAAGCAGCAAAACAAGAGGGAACAATTTTAAGGAAGGTAAAAAATCATCCATGAGATGTTGGGCCTTCTTCTCTGGGGCACCAACACTTTGGGACCAGGCTCCATAGAGCAGGGGTCCCCAACCACCGGTCCGTGGCCCAGTGCCAGTCCGTGGGCTTCGCAGGACCAAGCCATGGAGATAGATCTCCTGCTCCCCATGCATGCATGCATGCATGGTGGGCGTGACGTGCTCACATGCATGCACGGGTGAGTGGGCACATTCACAGATGGACATGGTGTGTTCGCGGGTGAGCATGGCACACTCGCAGGTGGGCATGGCATGCGAGCATGCATGTGTGCCCCATGAGCACGCCACACTCATTCACACATGCACGCGAGCGCACCACGCCCATCTGTGAGGCAAGAACCAACTCACCCGGGATCAGGAGAGTGTACCGTCTGATTCTCAAATAAAGGCCGAAGCACAAAGAGACAGTAGTGATGGAAAAGGAATTAAGGAAATTAGAAATAAAAGAAAAGACTGAAGGGGGCGCAAATCAGGCAGGAAAGGAAGAGGATAAGAAGGAGGGAGAAGAAGGGGTGGAGGCAGAAGCATGTTGGGGAAGAGAAGAGAAAGGAAAGGAAAGGAAAAAGAAGAACTTATAGAATTGATCCAAGAAGACCCTTGGACAGGAGAGTGAGTAGAATTCAAGGCGCCCCATGAGTATGCTGAAAGGGAACGGAGACGGCAAATGTATAGAAAGCCACCTTACTGGGGGGAGACAGAGGAGAGAAAGGAAAAGAAAGAGTACAAAGCATGGGTAAAAAGGGAAGAACAGAGAAGGGAAAGGCAGAGATGTACAGTGAGTCCAGAAAAACCCCGTGGGCCCAGCCCCTTCAGACCCCGCCAGAGAACGATGCATGGCTCACTAAAAGGGGAACACCAGGAAAGTTCGACATCCAATCCACAAACTTGAAGTGGGCTGAGAACACGCCTGAGTTGATGGGTGCCAGAACCAAAGTTAAGTGATTCTCCGTTGTCGTACTGTGAAGACATACCCAGTTTTAATAATGTTAAGACTTATGATTTATTGTTAAAGTTGGACAATGATAAACAAGAATCACAAACTGATGAAGCCATGTTAAACAATAAGGCAGTTTTATTAGAAGATTTGGGTGTGACGACTACTTCCTTGAATAAGATAAAGAAAAAGGAGGCAGATGACAGGTGACAAGATCACACCATCCATGAGCATGACAGACATAACAGCAAGTCTGTAAACATACATTTACTTCACCAAACAATGCTTTTATCATAGAAAAACCTAGATTCTTTGACTAAGTGATTGACAGGACACAAGACATGGAATGGTGAAAACCACTGAAATAGACAACTCCTTAACATTCATTCATTCATTCATTCATTCATTCATTGATTCATTCATTCTATCCCATCCTTTTAGACAAAGTCTACTCCTTTTGGAAGTGAAGGAAAGAAGGAGGAAAGTCAGCCATCCTCGCCCATAGAGCCACCAGGGGAGGAGAAGGGAAGATAAAGGTCTGCCTGGTAGAAGGAGAGGGAGAAAAAGGGGAAGAGTTAAAAATGTCAGTAGGGAAGGAAGGTATAAAAGATCAAGGAGAGAGGAGATTAGGCAGTAGATTCGAGAGTGAAGGAGTAGATTCAAAGTACGAGAGAACACTTGGTCTTTTGAAAGACCTTCCTAAACTAAAGGTTGATGGGTTGTTACCAGACCTGGAGGTAAAAAGAGTAGGAGAGACAACGTTTGAAACTCAAGAACGGACAGTGATTGTTTTCCCACGGGGGCAAAGAGGTGGAAGGAAGAGAATCCGGCCGGATCAGATGTATAACAAGTCACTGAAAGAGACAGATTGGGCTCAACACCCGTGTCGCGGCGCTATTTGCGCATACAGAGGACCCCCCTGTGGAATCCCATGGATCTGGAGCGTTTAAGTCCAGCACCTCAGTGAGTTATCCTAATTTCCAAGAAGAACTATCCTCACCGAGTTATGGACCTTTGCCTGATTCGTCTTGCTATGATCCGGTTGTGGGGGTTGTTGAAACACCGAGAGTTAATAAAGTCAAAGTTGTAAACAGTATGGACAAGTCTCAGTTGTTATTTCCTGCCAAAGTTGAGGAACTGCCTCAACTTTCAAATGAACCCAATCACAGAATCCAATCAAGAACAAAGATAGAGAAGAGCAGTATCTTCATTGCCAGTCTGTTGTGGTGCCCAAACTAAAGTACTGTGCCACATTTCTACATTTTAAATGGCCCTAATTCATGATACCTTAAAGAAGCCATGTACTACATTCATCTTGCACAGACCATAGCATGTCGTTCTGCTGGCTAGAATCCTGCTCATGGGGAGGAGAGACAGCATGGGTAAAACTTCATACATACATTGCAAACTGTTACTAATTTACCAGCTGCCACTGGCATTTCTAATCGTCAACTTGGTACATGACTAGGAACGCTGGCAGCAACCTGGTAACTAGCAGTAGTTTGCTGCCATTGCTTAAACAATTACACCCACACTGGCACAAATCCCCAACAGGATCCCATGCAATAAGCTATATTTCAGATAACAGGGTTACAGAAGCAATTACAGTGGGGTCTCGACTTACGAACTTAATCTGTATTGGAAGGCAGTTCTCAGGTCGAAAAGTTCGTAAGTCGAATCTTCATTTCCCATAGGAATGCACTGAAAACCATTTAATCTGTATCTGCTCTTTTCGTCCATAGAAACTAATGGAAAACTGCTATTCCGCCTTCTGCCACTAGAGGGGGATATTTTTTTCTTTTTTCCTTTTAACCTAAGATGACTTAGCTTTAAAAAAAGGGGAAAAAAGAGTTCGTAACTCAAATCTAAGTTCGCAAGTCGAGTCCATATATTCCTATGAGAGCAGTTCGTAAGTCGAAATGTTCATATGTCGAGCCGTTCGTAAGTCGAGACCCCACTGTAATTGTGGTGGAGTTTTTATAATATATTATACAGTTACTTTGTAAAAAAAAAAGTTAGGGGGGGAAATGCTGGATCTCCTTTCTCAGAAACACTTCAGAGGTGATGCACAAGGAAATGCCATGCACTCCTGACAGCTGATGCAACTCTTCATAGAACCAACTCCATTCCATTTTCCCAGAGGTGATATTGAAGAAAACTCTCAACAATATCATACAAAGTGCACCCTTCATGCTGACAAATATATTTTAGGAAAACAGCCAGAAAGAACATAGATTTTAGAAGGAGAAAACAACGAAAGTAGATTATATATTTTTACGTACACCCAGTGTGGTACACCCTATGTATACCCTAGAGATGGACTAGGGCTCAAGGGGCCTGGGTTTGAATCCTCTCTGAGCCATGGAAACTCACAGTGTGTGTGGAACTAGTAAAGCCACTCCTTGATTATCCCATTTACCTTGAAAGCTCTATTAGAGTCAGTAGAACGTGGTTCAACTTGACGACACATGGCATAGCAATTTTTATATATTTTACTCAGAAACTCACCTCTTTCCACACTGATATGCATCTGCTTGTCATTATTCATATTTGCCAGTTTTCGATAAATGAGGAAGCTCGCCTGTAGCGACAGAAAAGGAAGAAAAGAGGGAAATACACTTTCAAATGCATGAGTAAATTATATAAACCAAAGCAATCTCTCTCAAGAAAAATCTTGGTTTAAAACTTTAGCACCATACACAGAGACAGCTTAATATAAAATTAATGGCATACTGATGCACTCATCAAAGGAAATCAAAGTTCTATCCAAACATAAAATAAAACTTCTCTAAACAGCTTTAAAAGAAACTGAAAGAACAATAACTGACGGAAAGGTAGGATTGCAGTTTACATCATCTGCAAATCTGACAGCATCAGACTATGATTCAACTCTACTGTGACATGAGTTGGAAAGAACCTGTAAGAAGCCTGCTCCCCTATACTCTCCACACCTCTCTCTTCCTAGCAGAGAAGATTTCAGTAAAGCTGTCTTATTCTTCTTGAACTAGAAACTGAAATTCAAAACAAGTTTTCAAATAAGGCAACTTTAAACAACCAATTATTCAGCTGATTTGTTCAGCTAGCCAGTTGCTGTTGACTCATATGTCATGGCAAGGCAGATTTCATGGGAAATGAAACTGAACTCTGCCAAAGTGAGTGAGGAAGAACATGGAATGCTAAAACATGATTTATTACATGCAAATCTCACAACTTTCATACAAGGGGAAAAAAGCCACAAAACAACAAACAGGAGCTGAAAACAGAGGAGCAAGGGGACAGAGCCAACAACAAGGTGGGAAGTGATCATTCAGAGCCTGAGAAAACCAGACAGTCTTGGTCTGGCATCTAAAACTCACCCAACTAAGAACCAAACCGGTACTCCCACGTCAGGACACAACACAGAGAAGGCCCATTTCCCAGTCACCATCTGTTGCCTTCTAAGGGCCATGAGCAGGGACACTCTAAGATGGGCTCCCAATGACGACCCACACTGGCTTCCAGCTTCATGAAAAATGAATGGCATACTTATTCCTAATATAAAACTCTATTTTATACAGTTACCGGTAATTATGATCAGACGTTCCCAGGCTGGAACAGAAGCCATTTCTTTCTCTCTGCGGCAGGCCAGCCCTGCAAAGCTGGATGTCCTCTTAGAATCACACATAGACACATACACAAACACATTTACCTGCGGTTAGAACTAACAGCTGTTGTGGCCACAGAAATCTAGGGCCCTTAAGAGACCCCTTGACACACTCTCATATAAGCTGAGCCATAGGGTTTGATTTGGCTTTATCCTTAGTCAGGACAAACAGTGGTGGAGACAGAAAGGGAACTCCGGGTTAAGAAGGCAGGCAGTGGAAGGTTGGGGAACAAGGTTCCCTCTAAGACTCGACTTCCCTCCGTTCAGCAATCACATTTAACGCCTGTGGTTCCGGTCACAACTGAAATTTAGAGCTGAATATTATAGGGTACATTGCTGGGGAACCTAAAATGTTTTATCTACAAGCTTTACAGTTGTACAGCTTCAAATCACAAGGAACGCCTATACTGCATACTATTTATGTGTCTCAGCTACCTTCTCTACTGCTGTGCGACCCAATTTAAACATACTTGACATGGTTAAAAACACAGTACTGGACTCCAACAAATTGAAGCTGGGCACTGGTGCCTATAGCACTGTGGACTAGAAATGTGTAATACTGCCCTCCTAACACCCTGCACAGATGTGCAATTGCCAGTTTCAACCACGTAGTGGGGGAATAAGAAAGAAGGTAGTGTTCCAGTATACAAGGGGGAAGCACAGGGAATGGACCAACACATGATACGGAGTTGTGTGGTTTAGCTACTTGTTAAGATTGCAAAGTCAGCACAGAGAGATACATCATACAGTGCTCACAAAGCAAAACTGCCAGGCAAAATGTAGCAGGGGTGAATGGCATAAGGTATTTGCAAGGGGGTTGGAATAATTGTACAAACATGGATCACATTTATTCTGCTCATCTGTCAAATGGAAAGGGTTTCAACAATCAGAACATTTCAACATAATCAAGAGACAGCTACATCATTCAGCAAACTGTATCTTGGCCTCATAAAATGAAATATGCCCAATCCATGTAGTCCTCCTTGGCACACCACCATTCAGCCCAGAGCTCTGAATGGTTAGCCAGTTTTGCATTCCCCCCTAAGGCAAAAGACTATACTTACCACAGACTTTTTGAGTTACAGACTTCTCTGGCCGCAAAATTTAGGTTTGACTTGCAGCCTGAGAATTGACTTACAGACCAGAAAAAACCAAAATGGAACAAAAACGGCCTGTTACGGGATTAATCGGTTTTCAATGCACTGTAGGTCAATGGAGACTTGACCTACAGACTTTTTGACTTGAGAACCGCCTTCCAATACGGATTAAGTTCTCAAGTCAAGACCCCACTGTATTTTGAATGCCTTTCTTTTGAATGTCTCCAGCAGAAATAAAACTGAAAGCGAAAGTGCCCAGCCTCTTAAGGGGCCATGGTTCCCTCCCACCCCAGGATGTGTCCTCATTCGATTGAAATTGGGAGCAGAGAATCTCCATATTCTACAGCATGGGACTACTCTACATTCTCCTGCAGCACTATATCTCTATGTGCCACTCGAACTCTCTTCTTGCGAGAAGAGGGCAGTTTTCCTTTTGCAATGGGAGGGGGGAAGGGAGGACTGCAGGATTAGAGAGAGACAGTCGGAGAGGAAGGAGGCAGGCAGGCAGTGACTCGTCCAGCAGCATTTTTCACTCATCACAGATGAGTGGATGAGTGCATTTTTCAAGCCCTGAATATCTTTCTCTGTTCCAAGCCTGATCACCATAGATTCCGAGTTTGGAGGAATGCTGGGTTTAATTGCAACACAGAGTGAAGTGAGAAATGAAGGGGGCCATATGCACAGCCCAAAGGCTTGTTCATATCTCAGATTAATACAATAAAATAACCAAAATTCGGTTGCCTTAATTCAGCCAGCACAATGGGAGTAACACCACTGGCATTGACAGATTGACACTATTTAAACAGTTCCTGGTTTGACTTCAAGTTGCATTTGACTTTGTCCCACTGCATGCAAATCACATGGAACCTGAAATCAGAGCACAGGTTCTCTAACTGACGATAATCTGCCACTGCCAGTGACATCATTTCCGCTATGCCAGCAGAGCTAAGAAACAGGATGCTGCTCAGTATGATGAACCAAACTGAGCAGTCATAGCTTTACACATTTTACATTGCTAGATATAGGCTACAAAAATATACAATTTATCAGTACGTACATAAGCATCAGTAGCTGCATACAGCTTTTGTTCTTCAGTAAGTGGAAACTGTCCCCAGTTACCACAGCGGACCGATTTGTCTTTCAGAAGTTGTTTGTGAAACAAGTGTTTTACAAGGTCATTCAAACTCCATATCTCCTTACATTTCAGCTAAAAATAAGACAAAACAGTGAAAAATAAACTCATTCTGAAAAAAAAACAGAAACTAATTTTAGAATGATCTATTTCTGATGGAGACAAAATAAATGTAAATAAGATTTATTCATTAGTACAGCTTTAAAACAGATTAAGGAGAAAAATAGATTAATGAGAGGCCTTTCTCTCAGTCCCACCACCTCCAAAAGTCAGCTTTAAAATTGCAGACAGAGGTCATTGAAAGAGAAGCACTGAGCAAGACACTCGCCACCCATCACAGTTTTGCTCCTCAACCCAGAGGAGGGCCATGTATGAATGAGCTGCTATGTATCTGCCTCCACAAGGGGTGAGCTCTTACCTTGGCATTGGCAAGGTCAGCCAAGTCCACAAGGTCTCCCAATCTGATTTCAAAATCACGCATCAGCTTCCATTTATCCCCTTCAATACCGACCCCAGCTTTTTTTATACGGTTATCTTCAAGCAACCTTCTCAATCCCCCAGGAAAACCTGAACAGATTAAATGCATACAGATAAAGGTGAAGGAATGTGTGCTTCTTTTATATAACACAAGGCTACTTAGCCATTAAGGCCAGGAACCTTCAGACGTGAGGCTCGTTTCGTACAGTCCTCAGCAGTGTCTAGCTTTTTTGGACACTGCAAACCCGTCTCTTATTTCTTGAGGGGTGAAATCTGAACGTGGTGTGCCTTGGGATGTAACTGAAATGACACTGCACAGGTACAGGGATTCAGTTTCACTGAACTTCCATCTCAACTGAGTCTGGAACCACTAACGAAAAACAAAATTCACTGTAAAATCATACACTGCAAACCTCATCACATTCTCCTTCCACAAAGCAATCCAGTAAAATGAAGCCAGTGACTTTTTTCCCCCTCATGTATGAACAAAACTGATACTTGGTTCTAATAAAAATCATGGAGCACAACCACATGCATTACTGCAGCATTACTGAGAGCAGGCAGCATGGGATAAAACTGTCCTTAAGACAGAGAACAGCATACTTTTAGGTTCCCATGGTGACCATCTCTCCAATTTCTCTCTGTCAGAATACTCAGCCCTCTACAAGGGTAGCAGAATCACATAATACTGTAGTTTCTTCCAAGGAGGAGGAGGAGAAACTGCATTCTTCCAAGGGACAGCTCACTGTGCATAAGCAAACTCAAGTGTGAGGGAGCACCTTCTTAATTAGCTTAAATGAAACAAATTCAGGGGGTTTTCTGCACAATTTGAACAGCCAGGGTACAAATATTAAATTATGTTAGTGCAGAATACTATTAGGGCAGAAGGCAGAGGCAGGGCTGTCACTACACTGCAAAGTGAACTCTGTTCAGAGAAGTCACCAAACTTTGACCTTATGTAAAAGGCAATCTGAGTAGTTAAATTTGTAAGGAGATTAAACAGACATACTGACCTGACATTGAAGAAACGTGAAACAGATAGCATTTTTCTTCAGACTCACACAGCTGGATTAAGGCAACCTTCCCTGACTTTCCTTTAGTATAAACTGGTGGCCATTCAATGTCAAATCCTAGCACAGCTCCATCAGGCAATGTTCCACTGAAAGATGAAAATGAATCTCAAATTTAGGTCCTTCAAAACATTACTCCCTGAGATCCAGCATAAAATGAATGCTGGCTTTCAGTCCTTACAAGCAATGGGCTGTCAAGTTAGAAGCAAGTCTCAGAAATGTATAGTCCCTTCCTATTCTTGGTCTTCTTTCTCCCTTTGGTACAAATCTTCTTTCACTTGGCCAAGTCATGTTGAGACCTATCTCAACACCAGCTACAACCAACCAGCAGCCACTGTTTTTCTCTTAATCAACTACGAATCAGGATATGGACACCCTACTTGAAAAAGTACCCAGTTAGCATTAATATGGTTAGTGTTGATGCACATTTCAGGGAAACAAGGGAAGGCACAGAGAATTTGCCCTCTTGGCTGATAGCTTGAGCGTTAACATACCAAGTAATTTTGGTTGTAATTGAACCCAGTGAGTCTGTCTGGGCAGAAGGCATCTAAATCAAAGGTTCCCAACCTTGGGTAACCCAGGTTTTCTTGAAATGCAACTCCCAGAAACCCCACCCAGCACAGCTGGTGGTGAAGGCATCTGGGAATTCCAGTCCAGGAACATCTGGGAACCACTGCCTTAAAGGATGAAGGAGAGGTAAGGAGAATGGAAATCCCTAAGGCTGCTTATGACTACAATTTTTAGAGAGCTGTTCTTAATACAGTATCTGCACCAGACATCATGCATTAACAAGCAACTACAATGGGACAGCTGATACATAGAGCAGTGAATAGGGATTTAAAAGATAAAAAAATTATCTCCAAAAAAGCATTTTAAAGAAATAATATTGTCTGTTAAGTACAACAATTCTGAAACCATGCTCCATGGAGCACTTTCCAGTGATCCTCGAAGGAGGGAAATCTGAGAAAAATACTGTAGACATTTCTTTTCAGTTCCTTGTAACATTATGGGTGTCTCAGTTGTAATGGGACAGCTGATACATAGAGCAGTGAATAGGGATTTAAAAGATAAAAAAAATTACCTCCAAGAAAGCATTTTAAAGAAATAATATTGTCTGTTAAGCACAACAATTCTGAAACTGTGCTCCATAGGGCACTTTCCAGTGATCCTCAAAGGAGGAAAATCTGAGAAATCTGAGAAAAATACAGACATTTCTTTTCAGTTGCTTGCAACATTATGGGTGTCTCAGTTGCTACACATGCTGAAAAAGCAAGATTATATTTTAAAAACCAAAAATGAAAATAACCATATCATTCTGACAACACATCATCTGGATTTTTTTTATTATTATTTATCTCTCTGAAACTGTGCTCCATAGGGCACTTTCCAGTGATCCTCAAAGGAGGAAAATCTGAGAAATCTGAGAAAAATACAGACATTTCTTTTCAGTTGCTTGCAACATTATGGGTGTCTCAGTTGCTACACATGCTGAAAAAGCAAGATTATATTTTAAAAATCAAAAATGAAAATAACCATATCATTTTGACAACGCATCATCTGGATTTTTTTTATTATTTATCTCCATTCTGGGAGTTTCTCCCAACAAACGGACATCTGAATGCTGCTTAATTGGGAAAAAAGCCTAACCTGGAAGGCTTTGCGGCCTAACTCCACTGAAGCGTCCTGTTTCGAAAGGAAATTGCCCCAATGCCAGGTGGGAGCTTCCTTTCTCAACAGGAAGCTTGAGCACAGCTGTGTTTAAAAAGCCTTCCAGTTTAGGCCTTTTTCCTAATGAGCCACATTTAGGTGCCCGTAGGTGTCTCTCCCTCAGGTGGAAGTGTCCCAGAATGGAGAATTCTGGGTTTTCTGAAAAATCTGAATGGCACATCCCTAGCAAGCAACTGAAAGAGAAATTTCAAAGAATCCCTCAACTGTGTGTCATTTCTACTCAGATGTGCACATACTGTACTTCCAGTGGATTGTTGGAACAAAGACTTCAATTCAGAAATAAAGCAGCCGCCCTCCTGCACGGCAGATCATAGAAAGGGAACCTGGTGGGAAATCAAGCTTGTGAAACCACAAGCTGAAAATGCTGACTGATAATCTTTTTTGGAACTGCTGCTTCTGTCACAGATGGCTTGTTGCTCAGAGTGACATATGGTGTGAGCAAAAATGAGTGTGGCTTGCTAGAAAATAACATGACACAACAATAGCAGAAAGAGGGATCAATCCCAGATAAGATTTTTTTTTTCTTTCAGATTCGTTTATCTCTTCGGTTGCAATGCTAAGCGCATTCACCAGTCAGGAAGGCTCATTGAACACAATAGCTTGGATCCGGTCTACTAGCAGAACATTTGTGCTGCTCAGATAAGCTCTTTCCAACTCAGCAAGGGAATAAGACATTGTAAGAAGGGTGATCACTATTCCAAACAGAAAGGAGAATAACTTGTTGGCTGAAGAACCTGGGAGAATGGATTGGCTGTAATACGGCATTGTTATTTACAAATGGCAGAGCCAAGGCCGAGAGAGTCATGTCACTACTCATTCTCCAACAAGAGGCCAAAATGAAGAAAACCAAACATGGTGTTCACTTTGGGAAAGATGTCCTTTTTCTTTTCCATAACCTTTCATGACCCCACCATTTCAAACGGCAGCTTGTACAGTATCTTCTTTATTCACTATGTTTCCATACAGCAATGGAACCCAATACATTGCAGCATTACCCTAGAAACAGTACTCGGCTAAAGCCTGCACAAGAGTTCACAAAACAGTTCTCATATTTTCTGCTTGCCTTCACATTGTCTGGAACCAACCTCAATCAAGCATGCACAAGATTCAGCTATTTTTATTGCTCTAATTGCTTTCTGAAGATTTTCTTTAAATAGGTGTCTTTGAGGAGATCCCACCTCGTTCTGAGATAGAACCATGCGTAGTAGAACTTAGGAATTACATAAATGTATTAGAAATAGCCAATATACCTTAGTATAGTACTTAGTTAAATGTAGTATAGGAAATAGCCATTCCTTACAAAGTCCTTACAAAGCATAGAAACAAATAGGAACAGAAGAGGATTTAGAGAACAATTAATATAGGCACCCTATCCTTTGAGTAAAGGCCACAAATAAACCCAATCCATCATTTTCATTTAGGACAACCCAGGTGCAGAAGGAAATGGGTACAATTTGAGAAACATCTTATAAGATAAAGGTGTTTCAATGAAAGAAATTTCAAAGGCATAGCACTTTCAATTAGTTATTTATGGTACTTTGTTTTGCCATTTATAAAAGCTACCCTATGTATTCTGGAACTTCAGACTTCTATATTGATACCTTAGGGTGTATACGTACTGATTTCTGTGTTGGCATTAATAAAAGCTTTCCTAATATCTTGCAACTCAAAAACATCTCCTGGAAGACTATAAGAAGGAAAAAGTGTCCACACCTTCCACACCTTCCCCTTGCTAAACACAGCACATAAAAATAATTAATAAATAAGAATAATCTGCCATGACTTAGCACTGCCTTCAACAGAGATAATCAGTTAAGAACAACATAACATGTACAGGGGAAATTGCATGGGAAATAAGTTATTTTCAAACGGTAAAACAGAACAGCAACAGACAAGTGTATATGTTCAGTCTCTTACATAATATCTTCAGAGAGTAAGGAACAATCACTAGCATTGTAGCTATAAACGATGGAGCCCTGGAATTCAAAGAATGGAAGGCTGTCTTCTAGAACACTCCGATGGCCTGGATTTTTCCGCTTCATAAAAATGCAAAAGACAGCTTGTTTAAACACATCTTACAAAAAATATTTAGTTGCTAATATTATCATTAGACAAACTAATTGCACTGCAAAAGTGGCAGGAGAACCGTAAGTAAAATACGGTAGGACAGCTAAGTCGGACTGATGCCAAAAGCAAGTTTTGCATGAGTTAAAAAAAAAGAGGGACACATTCTCATTTTGTAAAGTCATATACAGTTTTTTTAAACATACATATTACACATTTTGGGCAGTGAGCGGGAACTTAATGTAACTTTTCTCTCATACTCAAGTAAGATGTATACATCTTCCAATACAGAAATGAATCATGATTTAAACACCACAATGTATCAAGTCATGAAATCTTCAAGTCATTACAATCAGTGGTGTACATTTTCCAGTATTCTAATGTTAACTGTTCTGGCATGTTTAGTTTAAATGCTATATTCACAGTTTAAGTGGAAATTCTTTAACTGGAATATTTCTAATAAAGTAGACATAATATTGTATAATTCCCTTAAATTTAACAAAAAATGACTACTCCTGAAAGAACACTTTTTAGGATATATCTGAAGAGAGCTGCATCTGACATATATCAACAGTTTATATTTTTTATTTATTTGCTGAGGTAGCGCCTTCAAGTTCACTCATTCACACTCTGTACTACTTCTCAGTTCTCTTTCAAGTTCAGAAAAATCTGACTCGGTATTTCACTAAAGGATGGATGTGAATCTGAGGGCACAGACAACTTGTCAATTTTCATCTTGACTACTCGTACTTGTTGACTGATAGAGAAGCAAGATATTTTGTGAAACAGAAACAAGCTGAACAGTTTATTAGTCTATTCAAGGCAAATACACCATGTTTAAGCCTGGTTTAAACCTGGTCAGAAGCCGACTGCATTTTGCACAGGAAGAAGTTGTCATACATTGTCAGAAGCCGACTGCATTTTGCACAGGAAGTTGTCATACATTCTTGTTCAGTTCCCCTACAAGCAATTAAGCACTGGGGTTTGTCAATGCTTGTCTTTTTAGAAGAAGAACTTATAGAAGTAAATATCACATGTTTGTGCCATCTGATGACTGACTGCTGCACAAAAGCCGAGACAACAGTAGAAACATGTGGAACGTTTATATGGAAAAATTGGAAAGTTTTCCGTATCTATGATTACAAAGATATTAAGTTGCTACTAAATACTGTCGATGCACAACAAAACTGAGAAATACAGATGTCTTCAACAGGCAGGAAGTGCAAATGTTTATGCTATTTTCTAGTGCAAACTGAATGTACATTTCATTACTGGCCTATTTTTGCTGCTTTTTCTCTAGCAGATATCTTATGATTCAAACATATATTCTCATTCCCTACCTTTTCGTTAACCACTGCATCCTCTTTGTTACATTCAGTCATCCACTCAGGAAGTTTATTTGTTGTAAAATCCATATTCCTACGAAGTTATTCATCTGGACTCATATGAACTAGAATAGTGAGGGATGAAATTTCTTCATTTATGTTTTTACTATACAGTACTTATTCAAGAGTTCACAATAGCCAAAATTCTGTTGCTTAGCATAGTAAATCACACTATAGTAAGGCCACTGAATCAACTGGGATTTGGTGATTGAACTCCTTTGTAAGTTTCAGGCATTCAAATGGATCTACTCTAACAGCAACTTACTATGCAAAAGTAAGTCGCAGTTAGAAGTAAACCCATTTAAATCATTGGAAGTTATGAAGGAGTTGACTCACCAAATCCTATTTCATTCAATGGGTCTACTCTAGCACAACTAACTCTACCAAGCAACAGGATTTGGGTTAAAGCTTTGCCTGTTCTGTGTTAACCTCTACAAAACAAAAAAGCAAATAAAAACTAGCCCAAGTGATCCTCTACCTCTAACTTCAATAGGCAAACATGGCAAAAACTCCACGTATATAAGAAAAACAAAAGCAGCCATGTTTGTTTTACAGACATGTCAGTCTACAGTATTTTGAAAAAAAATGATGCAGTTAATTGTTCAGCTATGGAAAACACAAGAACAGTTAGTTCAAGAAGTGTAGCTTGTTAGTTCTCTCCTCCAACAGTAAACTTAAGTAAGATTACATCCAACTGAAGCAAGGCTCACATGTAATTCTACTAGAGAAAATGAACAGGGTTGCTTTCATTCATTTCACTTCTGCAAGACACGTAGCAAAGTACAAACATCTTTCCAATGAGAAAGAAGCAACTGTACCATTTTACAATTTGCATAAGGACTGGAGAACAGTTCTTCCTTTGAGAAGGAAATCATAGCCTTGACCCTTCATCTCTTATGCCACTCTGAAGTGCCCAAGACTCAAGAAGATTATTGTCAAAGCTAATTCACACATGCATGCTTGACATTTGGTGGCCACAGCATCAAGTGGTAAATAGCACACATAAAACAGCAAAAGAGAAACTAGCTTCTTGTCAAATACATTTTTTAAAAAATCCTGTTCAAAAATCTGAAACTATACAAATATATATTTTTTCATCCACTTCCAAGGTCAGTAAGCAAGATGTACTTCACAAATTGTGTGCTTGGGATTTTTGCATGTGCCTTGCAATCCCATCGTCTGCACGCTTACTCAGAGGTATCTTCCACTCTCACTCTGCTCTAGTGAACTTACTAACAAGAGCCCACAAGAGTAAAGCCTTCCCTGCAAATTCATGCAACTGCATGGGCTGCTAGTGGTGTTCGACAGACTCAAGCACAGATACGAGCCACCGCCGAGAAGGCCCGGTTTCTTGTCTTCTCTCTCCGGGCCTCCCTCGGCGTCAGGCCCCTCAGCCTCACCTCCAGGCTCGCGCGGGTGGTTCGGGTAGAACTTGGTGGGTGAAGGCGTTCCGCCAAGTATCGAGGTCCCAAACTTACTAACAAGAGCCCAAAAGAGTAAAGCCTTCCCTGCAAATTCATGCAACTGCATGGGCTGCTAGTGGTGTTCGACAGACTCAAGCACAGATACAGTAACTCAACAGAAGTTGGCCATTTTAACTGCTAGTTCCAATAATATCATCTTGTTACCGGCTTACAGCTTTCCTCGGTATCAGTCTCACCAAACCTTCCACAGGGTACGCTTCACTGCGCAACTCCAGAGAAAGCAGATTCCATCTGAAAGCGAGCTTTCCCGCCAGGCGCGCGAGAATCACGTCACGCTTACCTTCCGCTCCCGTCTCAATACAATGGCGTCACAACACTTCAGCCTTCCCCCTTTTCTCGCCGCTGTCAACTCTAGAAGGTGAAATGAGGTGAGACGCATGCGTACAGAGGTGTCCGCGCCCGCCGGCCTCGGGGCACCGCAGAGCCTTCTGGGGGTTGTAGTTTTTCATTACGTGAGGCGAGGAGGGGGAAAGAGGAGGTGGCTGCCCGTTTGTGACCAAAAGCAGTCCTCCCCTCTTCCGTTCCTCTCCGCCGCTCCGCCGTTTTCTCGCTTTTCCTTTCCTGATCGAGGCCGACTCGGCAGGTGACGCTGAGGAGAAAACGAAGCTCAGGCGGCACAGGAAGGGAGAGAGCTGGGCGGCGCTAGGACCTGCGCCGGCTGCTGAGGCTTCTCTCCGGCTTCCCCTGCGGGCGGCATCTCGGGGAAGGCGAGCGCTGCGGGGCTCGGCGCGGCTAGTGACCGTGGCTGTGGCTGGCTGGCAGGCAGGCAGGCGAGCGAGCGTCTAGGCGAGAGGCAACCGAAGGGATGGAGTAAGTAGCCCCG